CTGCTGCTGCTTCATCTGACCCGGGAATAAAGTGTTTTGGACTGGGCTGGACTGGACTGGGCCAGCCAGCGGACACCCGGTCCCCCTGCCGCGCAGGGGAGCGGACACAGACGCTGACCAGGTCAAGACCGTTCTGATCAGAGAGGTCTGGTCTGGATGCGAAGGGGTGTAGAGACGCTGACTCTCTGATATCCTTGGGGAGAGAGCTCCAGAGCTCTGGGGGACAGATAGGAGCCCAGAAGTAAAGAGCGAAGGTTGCGAGGTGGGGAGTAGGGCGATAGTAGGTCAGACAGGTACTGAGGTGCCAAACCATGCGGAGCCTTATAGGTGAGCAGGAGGATTTTGAAGTCCACACGGAACTTGACCGGGAGCCAGTGCAGGGACTCCAGGACAGGAGTAATGTGATCACTTGCACTAGACCTGGTCAGGATTCTGGCAGCCGAATTTTGGACAGACTGGAGTTTGTTCACTGTGGATTTAGACACCCCAGCGAGCAGAGAGTTACCACGGTCGATTCTGGAAAAAGACGAGTGTGGTGTCCAGCTTTTCAGCTCCAGTCAGAGACAACACCAGACCTAGTCTGGCGATATTCCTGAGGTGCAAGAATGATGTTTTTCACACATCAGAGAGAGAGACAGAGAGAGAGAGAGACGGGCGCTGGGATGGACAGACTCACCTCTGGTGAAGTTGTAGTGTATCTCCTCTCCAGCGGCAGGTTTCCGTAGCGACATCGGAGTCTCGGTGGTCTCCATGGGGACGCCCAGGAGGCGGTACTCCACGTAGATGCGCTGCACCGATTGGTCCAGCGCCACACGAGAGGTGGGGTCAAAGGTGAGGGACAGGATCTCCACTCGCAGTTTCTCGGCCTGGGGCGAGGTGGGATAGAGGAGGGACTGACTCTGTGGACGGCCCCTGTCCAGAGGACAGGCACAGCCCCTGTAGTGAGGGCTGCGTCCCCACACACACACTGTCCTCTGATGTGCTGGCCAGAGGGAGGTCTACCATGCTGATATGAGCTCCGAGCGCAGAAGCAGCTGTCTGAGGCTGCTGGGACACCTCTGTCTCTTCGTGTTGTGAGAGGGCTGGAGGCAATTAATATTTATTCCCTTAATTTAGACCTCTCTGTCTGTCTGTTGGTCTCCTGGTCGGTCTGTCTCTGTCTGTGAGTCAGTCTGACATTCAGCCTGTCTTTCTGCCTGTGAAAGCTCATTTCACTGTCTGTCTGTCCGTCTGTCCGCCTGTCCATCTGTCCTACTATCTGTCCATCTGTGTTTCCCTGTATCTGTCTGTCCCTGTCTCTGTCCTTCTGCATCTGCATCAGTTTCCCTACGGGGTTAATAAAGTCCTATCTATCTATCTTCTCACCTTTTTGGCCGGCATGAGTGGGCGGGGGATGATGATGACATCACTGTCAGTGGAAGGCTGTGATTCGCCAGACTCTGTAGTGACGTCACTGTCCAGTTGAGCTTTAAAGACAGAAGACTGAATTTATTTTTGCTGCGTTGTTGTTCTCCTGTGTTTGCTGTGGATTGGTCACTGTGTGTGTTACTGTGGTTTGATCATGGTGGTGTATTACTGTGGTATTGTCACAGTGTGTGTGTTACTGTGAGTTGTTGTTCTCCTGTGGTATGGTAACAGGGTGTGTGTATTGTGGTTTGGCCACAGTGTGTTACTGTTGTTTAGTCACTGTGTGTGCGTATCTATGAATTGTCATTCTGTGGTTATGGTCACTGTGTGTGTTACTGTGGTATTGTCAGTGTGTGTGGTACTGTGGTTACACAGCTCACCATGGGCACACACAAACACACTGGGTGTGAGAAGAGTGCGTTTGTGTTGCTGCTGCACAAACGCGATGGATGATGATAAGAGGAGCTTCACAAGGCACAACACTTCCAAACGACAACATTCACACCTCTCTCACTTCCTGCTTCCTGACTCCTCCCAGAGTGCTCAGCCTCCACTTCCTGTTCCTGTGCCGCTTCCTCTTCCATGGCTGCTTCCTCTGCCACTTCCTGCTCCACGTCTGCCACTTCCTGCTCCACCTCTGCCACTTCCTGTTGGCGGGTGGAGGGTACGGAGAGGGTCCGTTAATCCAAGAGAGAGGGAAAGATCTGTCCCGAGTCGGTCTCACACCACAGGAGTGATCAGGCCTGCTCACTCCTTGCCTGGGAACCACAATTCGCCCTCATTCACCCCCGTTTCAAACTCCTTCTCTGCCCCCCCCCTCCCGGCCGTGCCCGTGTGTGCTGTGTGTAGTGTGCGTGTGTTGGACACTGACCTGTGTCTGAGTCTGCCTGCGCTCCGGCTGCGTTTGAGACGAGCCGCTCGCCAGCTTCATCTGAGAGGGAGAAGGAAGGACAGGTTATCTCCACCTCCCCCCCGAACTACCAGTGCACTCCAGCGCACACTCCTGCACACTCCCACAAACTCTCACGCTCTTCTGCGCACCACAACACCTGCACACACTCTGACACACTCCCTCAAACCAACAAACTCTCTCTCACACACTGACACACTCTCTCAAACCAACTTTCTCTCACTTTCTCACACTCTCTCTCTCTCTCTCACACACTCCGATGCACTCCCTCACAACACTGCACACTCTCACACACCAGCTCACACTCCCACAAACCAATACACTCCGACACACTGACACACACTCCCAGACTCCCACACTCTCTCACACACTGACACACACTCCCACACACTCTCACACACAGTGACACACTCTCCCACACTCCCACACACTCTCACACACAGTGACACACTCTCCCACACTCCCACACACTCTCACACACAGTGACACACACTCCCACTCTCTCACACAGTGACACACACTC